GTTTTGAGACACTGGGTTCGTAATAGTTTAATATACCTATTACAAATTATATCATAATTTTATAATACTCATTTAAATATTTTCCATATCAGGTTGATCATCATTTTTACGACTTCGAACGCGATAGAAATCTTTTAGAAAGATTACAATCATTTCTAGACACAGTAAGTGGAAAATCAATGAGAAAATGGGTGGATTCAGTAATAAAAATCGTGCAAAGAAAATGCGAACCCTCTGAACAACGACCTATTACATTTAGTTTCGAACGATCTCCACCACCTATTGAGTGGCACCTGAATGTTCCTGAAGAAGAGTGGGGAATATTAACGGTAATATATTATAAGTGTAATTAATGTCATTCTAGCTTGTACATAATTAACACATTTTTCAATAATTACAGTTACATCCAATTGAATTAGCAAGACAATTAACTCTATTAGAGTTTGAACTGTACAGAACTGTAAAGCCTTCAGAATTAGTTGGGTCAGTATGGACTAAAAAAGATAAAGAAAAGACATCACCAAATTTATTAAAAATGATAAAGCACACAACAAATGTAAGTTACATTTTACATTCCCGCTTAATTTACATTTTTGTTGCGAATAAAAAAAATTATATTATTTTTTGTTCTATAGTTTACACGGTGGCTTGAAAAAACTATAGTTGAAGCGGAAAATTTAGAGGAAAGAGTTGCAATTGTATCGCGAGCAATTGAAATTATGATGGTGCTTCAAGATCTTAATAACTTTAATGGTGTATTAGCAATAGTTAGCGCAATGGGATCTGCATCCGTTTTTAGGTTAAAATTCACTTTTCAGGTATGTTTTTTTCTTCTTTAATGTTTTCGATAATTTGGATGGTGTAATACAGATTATATAATATTTGTAGCAAATACCAGCTCGATTGGAAAAAGCTCTCGAAGAAGCACGTGAACTAAATAACGGTCATTTCCGAAAATATCAAGAAAAATTGCGATCCATTAATCCACCTTGTGTACCATTTTTTGGTAAATATTAAAGGATAAAGCATTACTCAGAAAGTTAAATAAATTTTCATTAATAATTACTTTATAGGCATGTACCTGACCAACATCCTACACATTGAAGAAGGAAATCCGGATTATTTACGAAGAAGTCCGGAGCTTATAAATTTTAGCAAGCGACGAAAAGTGGCGGAAATAACAGGAGAAATTCAACAGTATCAAAATCAGCCTTATTGTCTTTCAGTGGAGTCTAGAATAAGACATTTCATTGAGAATTTGTCACCTTTCGATCCTAATATGAAAGAGGCCGATATAAGCAATTATTTGTACAATAAAAGCTTAGAAGTAGAACCCAGAGGTTGTAGGCAACCACCTAGAGTTGTAAGTTCTATTAAAATTATTATACAATATGCATATAATAACATTATTTTTACTAGTTATCATTGTCTTGTAGCCCCGTAAATGGCCGGACTTGAACTTAAAGTCACCAGGCATTAAAGCTAGAAATTTAAGTGGCAAGTCACCAGCTCCATTACAAACTGTAGCATCCACTGTAAGATTACACGATCCTCCACCGGAAGCTCCGCCACCAGAATTACCAGAAACTCCTCCGCATACTTCACACATTACAGTTTCTCACGTAGGGGACCACAGTGTCTTTGCACCTGTTCTACTAGGAGGTTCGTATTCAATAATATTAAATTCTAGCATTTGCTTATCAGTCGCTTTTTTACCATTCTTATTTTTTCTAGATAATAGAAACAAAAACTGTTTTTATTTTGTTGCATAGTATGCTTAGATAGGTAGTAGATGTACTTTATTGTTAATATAGGAACAGCTCAACCTCCAGGTTCACCAGGTCCTCTCAGCATGTCAGGACTCTCGATTAGTTCACCGGGTAGTAGCCCGCAACTAGGATCGCCCGGACATTTATCTATTCCGCACCATCAACCGCAGAATAGTCATTTTGGTTTTAATTCCGGTACAATTGGTGTAATGGGAGCTTTAACTGGTATGCCATCATCAGGTGGAAGTCCTGGTGCTGCGATGCCACCACCTCCGTCTCCTAGCCACATACCTCCCAATCAACCTCCACCTCCTTTACCACCAAGATCTAATAGGAAACGAGAGAGTTCCATAAGCGAATCACCGCAACAGGTAAACTGTACACAAACATATTGAATTGATTAATTTTTTTACTGTAGTTCCGAGTAATTTGTATTATCTATTATTGAACTCGCAGGCAAGACAAGCTCCAAATGCACCAATACTTCCTCCACGGGATGGTACGTCTCCGCCACCATTACCGCCTCGCCTTCCTACAACGTTGAATCCAAATTGTTCGGCGTTACTCGCCAGGCGGAATTCCACGTTGGAAAGCACATGTTCAAGTGTTGTTCATTCACGAAGACATATGTCTTTTAATGGGCCCAGTCCTACAAAACTTCCACCTACGCAACCTAATGGTGCGGACATCAGTATTAATAATTCTTTTTTTTTCTGTTTTTTAACCTTGAATTTTATAATTACGTTTCCTTTAGTAGACACCCTTTTAGCTTGCGATTTACGTTATTTAATCAATTTTAGGATCGGTGACACCCAGATTACCACCAAAACCGTTGCCGGGACGTCCACCAACCACCATGTTCAATTTCAATGCTCCTCCTGGATCTAGTTAAGTGTTACATATTCCTACCTCTTACCTAAATTAACGCATCTTTTGGAAATCGAGATTTAGTCCACTCAGAAGGATTAGTCGAGTCGGATGTTTTGTTTGTCCGATATGTTTAACAATGTGAAATTGACAATGTAAATTTCATACTGTTTACATAACTTTTTCACAGGAAACTTCATAGGGGTACAAGAGTTATTCAGAGGTCTGTATTAATGCATTTACCTCCATTTCTTAACCGGGCACTCGAAATATAATTGGTAAATGCATTAATATAAGAATAATTCGACGAAAATTTTCTCACAACGCGGCCCATACGTGATGAGATGCTGTTACATTCCTTTTTACGATTTGTCTTTTTTAACACGCGTGACACTATTTTTATTGGAAGTTTATTTTTCAAGAGGATATAGAATGTTTTATCGCATATAGTATATTTTTAGAGGTTTTTTTACCAATCGAATATATAATCAGTAAATATAAGGCTTTATATCCTGTTTGATTGAATGAACTCAGTTAAAGCTATTTATCCTTGAAAAACATTCAAACAAATGAAATTTGTACAGCTTGCCTAACTAGAATATTTTTATAAATTAACGGAACAGAGTTTCTTTGATAATTTTGCATATCTGAGTCTCGTATCGCGGCGTAATATATATTAGCTTTAATAAACCATCGCACCAAAAGAGATAAAGAAAATAAAATTGTTTCTGCATTAATGTAACAACAAAAAGTTTATTTAAAAAAAAGAGAAACCTGTTATTTAACGATTAGCTTTTTAAATCATACGTATGCACGTATATACGCGAATATTCTTTGTATTTAAAAGAATTTTGATACGAGATTCTTTAAAAAAAATTATCAACGTAACTTTAGCACAAAAGCAATAATATTACAAGAATATATCTTACTGTAGAACGAATCACCACAGATGGTCTTACTGGTAGACATTTTTTAGGAAAAAACAACTACAGAAACATACGAAGATTCTTCCTCTTTTTTAAAAATTGCACAAGATATGGTGAATTACTTTTCTATGATTTGCCATTTAAACGCCTACGACGCACGGTATAATTTTCAAGATAATGTAATCTTGGGAATGTAGGATACATTTCATCGCAGCCGTTTACTTGAACTATTCCTAAAGAATTTTGAGCTGATGTGTCCATCAGATCTGAAGAGATCTGACTGAATGGACTATGTATCGATTTCGGTCGTCCGGACGGTCTCCTTTTCTTCAAAACAAGAAAAAAAAGTAAAAAAGATCCTTATCTATCCCTCAACACAACTGTGATACACTTTTAGATTTTAAAAAGGAAGCAGAAGACGCAAGAAAGTGCAGTATGGAATGAATCGTAGGCCAATATACATATAGAATTATACATATAAATCGAGAATCAATAGCAAAAAAAAAAGTAAATATGTACATGTATATTATTATAAATATATTCTATAGTAATTATTGTAATAATGTCAAGCGTACGACGGAGAATGAGATATTGAAATTATGTACAATAAAGAGTATATTGTGTAGGTTTTGAGAGAATTCTTTATCCCTTTTCGCGTATTAAAATCTTTAATATTTGAACAGTAATAGCGTTTGCATAATAGAATCACGAATATGTTATGGTTGAATTTAGTTACTATTGCTTTTTATTAAGTACATATATATTTTACAAATTCTTAAAAAATGCCTATTAATCAAATGCAAAGAAACTTGAAATTTTTATAATTAAAATTCACATTTCTTAATATGATATTTAACTGAATGAATGATTTTTTATCATTCCAATTTATTTTTAGTACGTAAAAAGTGTAGTATTTTTTAATTTTTTGATAAAATATTCCATTCTTTATTAATCACATTTTACTAAGTCATAAATTATGAAAAGATTCAAAAAATAAGAATAACAAGTTTCATTATTTTATTAATCAATAGTTCTATTTGTACTGCTATTACTTAATTTTAAAACTATTATAATTAAGTTCTACATAGTTTTAAAACTATTCTAAAACTATTCTGTTGAAATATAACCTTAGAAAATAGAGTACTGAGTTTAAGCCTTATAAAAGAGATAATTCTAATTTTATGCTAATGCTGATAACGTTTATGTTACAAATCACACCATCGAACATTAAAAATTTTTTAAATTAACTTTCGATGAACTTTAAAAAACATGTTGACATACTTTTGAATTTGCACGTTTTGCATCATTTTTTAAAATATCACAATTATAGATCCATTTGTTTGTACTTGATATTACATTACTTATGTAAAACTTTGTTTAAATACAATTTATACAACGATGAAACTAGGGTAATTTTTATACAAATGAGCGAGGCATTTTAAAAGTGTTTATGAATACATCCTTCAGAAAGGAAACGCAATCGATACGTTTTAAAGTCATGTCACCTCCCATACAGTCGAGCCATCGCTGTTTCTATTGTGCCTGGAAGCTACATCAACATGAGCGTCTAACCCGTCGCTCAGTTTACTGAAACGTCTTGCCCAACTTCCTCTACCACCACCTGCAGCTCTTCCGATGCTTCCTGCGTCTCTGAGCATTGACAAAATATCATCTTCGTCCTCCCTACTCTTTATTCCTTTTTCATACTTGGCCTCTTGAGCCAGTAAACGCTCTCGTTGCAACTGAGTCGCCAGAGAACGGGGTTCGGCTGGTATCACGTAACTCATTATTCCAGTTAGTGCAAAAACCTAGTTAAAATTTCTTAATACAATGAATTGTATAAATAAAATATATAAAGAGTATAGTAAAATAAGGCTCACGATATGTTCAAAAACGACGACAAAGGCCAAACGGGCTGCGAAAACATGCCAATATTGCGGACTAAGCCCGTATGGATCGTCCGGATGTTCCGGGCCATTTCTATAACCTCTGTACTGACAGGTTTCCAGATGATTATCATCTATGTCGCTTTTCATGTCATCCCGATAATCTGATGTGTTAAATTCCGATAGAGAACTGTCAATATAACCAACTAAATCCTCCGTAGGAGAGTAAACAATAGCATAGACACTACGGGGGATAAAATCTGACGTGTACGCAATAACGAATGCCTATATATAACACGATAAAGTTGTTAAAATTTGTTATATCATTGCAATTTTGAATCGTGAATTTTTATCATTACATACATTCGATACTACAGCAACATAAGTTACACCACGAAGTATACCATACCAAGCTCCTATATCTTCCACTCTCTCTGCTAATGGTCTCCTCGCCTCTTTCACCATTTTATACGCATCCAATCGTATTTCAGCAATATTGTTTAATAAGGCGAACAATGGTGCCAACGGAAATGCAGCGACGAATAGGGTGACAAATCCATACTGTAAAACTGTACAAAATTAATTAGCTTTCTTAAAAAATAATTGCTACAGAACTACATTTTATGTTTATTTATTCGTTTTTCCTTTTTTTTTTCTTTTGCTAATCAGTTATATAAAAGCACTTACTCATTTCCAAATATTCATCAAAGAGCGCGAGTCTTCCAGGATCCTGCAATTGATAATCTTTCTCCCAATAAGTATACGGTCTACCGTGATCTTTCGTAGCAGCAACATGATTTCTTTTACGCCACCAATTCCACAATTTCGGCGACAGTATCTCCACGAAATTATTGAAACATTGTTTGCCAATCATTATAATAGCGAGTTGTATGCAAACTTCCGACAGGCATCCAGCTGGATCACACACATCCGTTTTTATGCGAAAGAATTCAGAAGATCTCGCATCTGCGTCTCCAGGGTGAACAAAAAACCTACCCTATAAGTTTCCTGTGTCAATGAATTTGTTTGGTTACATATATGCAACAAATAGCATGCTACCAACCTTAAAGAATGCTATATAGATAAGAGATGAATAAAAATTGACGAATTCGAATAAGAATATCTTAAATGTGAAACTGGATTCGTACTCTGTCTGCGTTCTAGGATTTTCCATGTTCACCATCCATCGTGCTAAACGATGATATACTCGCGTAAGAATCATAATGATCACCAAGTTAATAAGGGCAGCAGTCATAGAGGTAAAAATCTTTGCGTGTTTCTTCAAAAATGGACCACCTCCGCCATAAAATACGGATACCAGAGATATTCGAGAAATAATCGTTCCCAAAACAGCACCCAAAACTACGCATATCTAAGTACAAATATATTAAAATAAAAATCATGGTAATAAAATTTATTATAATAAATGTTGTAAGAATTCTTTAATTACCATGAAAAATACCATGGAACCTGTGGCACAAGCGCGTAAAGCCTTTGACCATACTGGTAAATAAGGCTCTCTTTCTCTGGTCACAGGATTTATTCGAAAAGTTTTCACTGTAGTTTCAAATTCGGGTCTAGGTTCTTCATCGCTTTCAACGTTTTGCAAATCCCATTCCCAAATTATTACAGCTTGCCTTCGTTTCCATAATTCGAGAAATGTTGTAGCTAGAATATTAAGTAAAATGATAAAAGATATTCTTTAAGAAATCAAATTATATGTCGTATAGCATACCCCAAAATGACATAAAGATAGCAAAGAAAACAGTGGCAGGATTATCGAATAAATATGTTAATTTTGAAAATATGCAGGAATCGCCGAGCTTTTGATAGGAGCATGCTTTGTCACAGAGAGGACATAATGTGATATTTCCTACAAAAAAAATAATCAAATGAAGTGGAAAATCAAGATAAATGTAAAATAAAAATGAAGTGAAATAAAAATACCTGCTATATTAGGATCACATATTTCTTTACTAGGTATGTTGTCAGGCCCATCCATACTTCCTACACCGTACATAAAACATAGAAAGCCAACAATCGCTGGAGCATATAAACATTTTGTGTAAAATCCTAGCCATGCAAAATAAAGGGCTACTTTTTCACCGAAATATCGCCTGATTAACCAGAGAGGCTGTTTCTTATACCTAAAAGTATGGAACTAAATTTTCATCTTACGTACTCGAACATATTTTCTTTTTAGAGATACATCAGCAAGATGAAATCTGCAGTCTTTCAGTTTGATTACTTAACCGTAACACGTGCTTTATATAAAATACAATTATTTTTATTTCATAATTGAAACAACATAATTGAACAAACCAAAAATGTAAAGAAACTAAACATTAGAGAAAAATGTGCAAAGAATGTACACTCAAATTTATCATTTATAGGAATCGCATAAAAGTGTCAGTCAAATTACCATTGCGAAGGTCTAGCCCATATTAAATATAGCAAATGTCTGTCAAGAATTTCACCATTAAGTCCAGGTCTGTTATATGGACCCTCGTGCAGAGAAAAGCAATCAATATATGTACCATCCGCCAAAAGTCTGCGGATACCTGCTTTCTCATGATTTTCGTCATATCGTGCCCTTAATAATATTTGCATTACTATTAAAGACCTTTGAGCAGGGGTATAAGCTGTATCTCTATCCTTTACTACAAATCTATAAAAAATTGTTCAAATGTAAAATAATTACCGAGTACCAAAGGGAGTAAATAAATATTATTTCATTAATTTAGTTAATATATTAAACCTATATTATTCCTTATATCTTTACCTTTCTTCTCGATCACCAGGATCAATGCTGTCATAAAAACTAGGTTCTTCCGGATATTTCTTCGTATCCCAAGTATGTATCCTTTTTATCCATCGTATCCATTTTTCCCAAAATTTTGGCCTTTCCTTCACGTTCTCATTACCTTGCTAATAAGAAAATAATTCGTTACAAGCAATAAATAAAATGAAGAGGACAGGTAGGACAATTCATGAAATTACCCAAGCTTTAACGGAAATTGTGATGAACCTTTTAGTGGGTAACTTTAAGTTCATTACTTCAGCGTACTGAACTTTAATTTTCCACGGAATGTGCAACTTTAAGAAGTAAGTTTTCCCATCGAAAGAATTCTCTTTCGGTTCTAATTCCAACTGCAAACCTTCTTTTAATAAATTCTGCTGGAAAACACGTCTTTGTTCTTTTCGACGAGCCTCTATTTCAGTCATTACTCCATTACTTTCTTCGTGATACACTAGTACGATATCAATACGTCTACGGCCATCTCTGTAAATAATATATATTATATATTGTTTAATAAACTACAATGAAGGCACTAGTGACCACCTCTCAAGGTCAAGAAGGATATCACATTAGGTTACTGTAAAGGACCAGCAAAAATATGAAGGACTATATTAAAGGTCGATCAGGATTATGATGAATTTAATATTTTTGTCTACTTTCAAGATCAAGATCCTTCAGGATTATTCGAGATCGTTTTAAGTTCGTTTCAAAACTATCTCAAGGTTATTTTAAGGTCACTCCAAGGTCATCCAATGTCATTTCAGGATCACCTTAAGATTACTCGATTTTATTTCGATATCGCTTCAAGGTGATTTTAATGTTATTTCAAGATTGCCTCAAGGTCATTTCAGCATCATCCAAGATTATTTTGAGGTCATTCAGAAACACGAAGAAGCTTATTTTAGAAATGAACATATTAAATATTTAACGGGTTCCTTTTCAGGCCGACCCAATCGTAAAGCAAATAGCATGGCTCTATCGAGACCAGATCTAAAATTAAACCAGACACGAACAGAAAGAAGTCACGACTGACGTAAACTTCTTAAGTCATAAAATCACAATAATCTAATTTGTTAGAGGATGCTACGCGATGAGGAAGTTAATTATGTAAACATTTCTATTTTTTCTACCATGGGATTTGCAATGGTATACACATATCGCTAATTACAGGAATTCTTAATTAATCAGTCGTGAATTACACTCATCTGCTGCACATGACAATACACTTTACTCATTCTTTCGAATTAATTAAATCACTAAGATAAAAGACTTATGCAGAGAAATATTTTATTGCACATAAATCCAAATTTTCAATAAACTTTCTGTTTTACAAGAAAGAGAACAATGAAAGTACCATTGGTGGAGACTAACCAATTGTACCCTAAAATCATTACACACCGAAAGTAGAGCGTTTCAGGATCCACTTCTGCGTCTGAAGACGAATCCTTTTGCAGCAAGGAATCTCTCGGTACGTCGTCCGAAAATATTGGTGTTTCCGACAACGGAGGACTGTTTTCCGGTGTCGTTGGTATTGTGAGCTTAGGACCTGTAGACAATACAAACATTTTTAAACTAATTTGAAATTTCTCAATTAAAAATCTAAATTATTATCTAGGAAATATTATATTTTATTGAGTTTTTTAGCTACCGAAAAATATAATTGATCATATATGTATGAAACAAAAATTCTAGGAATTAGTTACATATTGATCGTGCGTGCAAATAGGAATGGTCAACACCTGTTGCGTGAAATTGTAGTTCCTTGCTATATTTCGACTGAATTGATTGCACTATACAAAAGGCTTTGACCTTGAAGGATCCATATCGCAAAAGAAACATATAATGTCACGTATGCCGTACAAATTTCAAAGTGATGTCATAAAGGAAAGGGTATAGTTATCGTTATTATATGAGAGAAAAAAAGAGGATGATGATAGAAGACACATGTTGACCCGACGATAGTCATAGAGTCTACAAATTCGCTGAAGTTACAGATACATTATTAATATCCATCATTCGTGACATACTGACATTCATATGCTTATTGATCGTAGTTTATTGGCTTAGGCCTATTTTAACCATTACAAGGCTAGCGTGACATTACAAATACCCATTTCATACATTAACATTCAAATTCTTAATTAAATCGAATGTTTCGCGTGCATAAAACAATTACATAAAATACAAATGATATAACGTGGAAAATAGTTAAATAGCCGTTATCTTTATATTTCGTACAATTTTTACAAATCCAGAGACGAAGCTAAGTCATCCTAAATAAAGGAGAACGAACTTAAAGAAAAATGCAGTTAAAAAATTTATTCGAATCCTACCAAAAGCGTCCCGAGCAGTCAAATTTGTTCCTGAGGGATAAACGCTATCTCTGGATAATCTCCTCTTAGTTTTTGGCGATCCATTCGATTGAATACCATTTTTATCCATTTCGTACACTATTTCTCTACTATTGTGAACTTGCATGCTTTTGTTTATACTCGGAGAATTCGATTTTGCCGGAGATGTTCTTTGAGGTGAGGAACTTGTTGCTGATACTTTCGATGATGAATTCTCCATTCCCATCGCATTTACGTTCGTTTGTGATCCATTTGAGTTTGTTTCAGTAACATTTGTATTAGAAGACAAACTTTGTCGTCTGCTATGATTATTCTAAAAAGGCAAGAGTAATGATTATTATATTATGTTCGATATATCATGTCTCGCGCTAAGCTGAAGCTATAATGTAATATATGTACATTTCAAAATATTTTTACCAGAATTATTTTCGTTAGAAAAATTGAAAGTAGTAATAAAGCTTCGTTCTACGTCGAAAGTTTAACTGACAATAAGATGTTTCGTAGTAACGCAGAACGTTAATACCAAAGCTTATTGTTAATTTAAATATTTCGATTAATCATACACTTTAACGTGCTGCGCATACATTATTAAACTTTATCTATTGCAATATCTACGCTCGGGATCATTACGATACAGAATATTGAGGCACGGAAACGTTTATCACGTAAACAGTTCATATTTTTTTAGATAATTCAGTAACGGAAGTCTCGTTTTTATGTCATAGTATATAATTACATAAATAATCTAGGTTTCACATGACTGGTTTAGATCTAACATTTAGATAAGTTTCATTGATGAGATTCATCGATTAGATATACCTAAAGGGAATACAATGCAGTTTCTGAAATGTTCATATATTTAAATATGTATTTAAATCGGTTAATATTCCTCCATATTTATTTTAATACTAGAAACAAGGATTGTTTCTTAGTTACCGATTATAAAATATGATCACGGTTACAAACAGCAAAAGAAAAAATAAACAAACGAAAAAAGTGTATTAAATGATACCTGTGTTTCCTCTTCAACTCGAAGAGTAGTGTTATCCATTGCGTTCAAAAAAGCTTGGTAAATATCGTCGAAAATGATCCTCCCTCATCAGTGACAGCTAAGAAAAATGCAATTTCTGCGACAATCTTGATCAATGTTGTCATTCTGTAAATCGTGGTGATAGTAAAACACTATCTCTTTTAGTATGGAATAAGTTCGATCAACCTATTTTCATAGTAACGATATTGAATGATGCTCTATGCAATATGATGATCTTTGTAAAATTATCATTATTACTCGCACAAGAATCTCAAAGCACAATTTTCTACGCAGGCACATTATCGATATTGAAAATCGATAACTTTATAAATTCCTCCGTTGACGATTATACAAATTATAAAATTAATAAAAGAGAAGAAAATCGCTGAATCATCGTATTTAGTATTGTGAATATCAGTAGCAATGTACACTTGATATTTTTTTGATTATTCACTTTTTGTTACGGAGTTAAATGCAGGCACATCGGTATATAAATGTCCTCGTAACTTTAGTTCAGTCGTTAATCGATCGATAACATGTTACAAAAAGCGATGACAGATCGACGAAAAGTTAGATTCCGTTTCGATCGACATCAATACATGAAATTCGTGATAATTATCGTCGAATAAATGAAGACCGATCAGAGTTGAGACTGCAATCTGGACTTTGGTTTGGCTTTCTTTCTCAATTATGAACGTTTTACTAGCCAACTATTCTATAGTTATCATCTTTTCTAGTCCGATGAGGGTCGGATGCCCTTGGCCCATCAGGAAGCATGTTAACATTCTGGTCGTCTTTCCTATCAGATCTAGTGTTGATCCATAAATCCGTTGCACGAAACGAAACGTCTTTGGACAATCAACAACGACCTCTGTAATTGATGTTTCAAAATACATATAGATACTTTATCGTATGTTTTTAGTCAGAATGCTTTATTGCATCTTATAATTTTTTCTTCCTTCTTTTTTAACTTCCATTTGTTGCATTTGATCGTTCTTTATTATTTGTATAATTTTATTATTAGCTGTTATTTTATAATTTTAAATATAAATAATTTACATCCTATATGTTTGCAAACTATATTGCAGCACATTGTTGGAGAAGACAGTTTATCTTATAACGATAACTTTGGGCAGGTATTGTGAAGATATATTCATAAAGCTGAAAGAATTGAGTGTAAATTGACAAGATGTGGATCATATTTCTGAATGATTAGTATGATCATATTTCGTTCGGAAGACGAATAATAGTACTTGAACCTCCAAAGTATCTTGGAAATCTTTCCTCAATTCCTCGATCACCTTTCTTTTTTCTTAAGAGTGTTTCTCTTTTTAAAGAGCACCTTTATGTAAACAAATTATTTTTGTATAGCTGATAATGTTAAAGGGCACTAAAATTTATCCACAATCACTAGACCTTAATTGCAGTTAATCATTTGTTTTTTCTCAATTTTGAATTTCTGACGAAGTAATTTTTCCAGCTTTTACACTCCTTCCAAAATATCGTGAAATCTCAACTGTCAAACAATGTTCGTGTTCGTCAGGTGATGCCGGTTGTTTCCGCCGCAATACTGTGACACATACTGACCTCCTCGTGGCAGGATGATACTTATATGTGCACACATGACCATGCGTGTGTTATTTACGAATAGCAACTATACACATGCCTTTGCACGGATAGGACACACACGTAGATATTCTTTTCCATTCCAACTATATATATGTACACCACTACAATCTAGTGTGCGTAATTTTATTCGCGAGCGTAACGAATGACTACGAATGTTTCTTCTAAGGATTTGTCATCATATTGATGCATCACACTTCTTGGCACCTAATACAGTTTTAAGCAACGATTTTTTTAATTGTTTCTCTCCATTAAATATCTTTTTGTTTATCATTTTTTATTTATCCGTGTAAATTCGGTTGTAAATGTTCACATATGTCCAAACACATAAGTATAGATTTTATACATTATACGACATATGCATTACTTGTAACTACATATGGCTGTCCACTAGTATATGTCTCACACACATGTGAATTGCTATCAAGGATTTTAACCCTCATAGGTATGCGATCGAGGAATACTCGAGACAATGAGGTTTTCGAATCGCTATGGTTACCGAATGAGCACAACATATGTTACGTATCATGTCTGTACAGTATATTACGGAGTGGTTCTTTCATGAACTTGAAATACCAATGGAGGGATGGGTATAAGTTCGCACGCAATGACGACACCTAGGAATAACAAATGTGACGTTTTACGATAACGGTTATAGAAAGCTTCACTTTCCTTATTTCTTAATGTATGTTATTTACCTTATATTAGAAACGTTTTATACGAAGATAACCATAAAATGGGACACTAATGCTATAATTAAAAGACATCATTCTATTTTCGGGTTAATTCAATGTCTTTCTTATTAAGGTACTATTATGGCAATAAGTTTGCTCTGGACTAGTTGCGTAATTAGATATAATTCGTTTTTCCTGAAATAGTAAAGAACTAGATTCCTGACATTGCCCATAACTTAAATAACGTAACCTTCATACCTGAGTAAGACCATAATAAAAGGTGATCAATAAACAATCGCTGTCAACTGTATAATACTTCGACATTTTATTATAATTGTTAATATCTATTTACGTAATTTGTTTAATATTTCGATTTACTCTTATAATTTCGAAACAAAGAACAGTAGCAAAAGGGCAAAAATAATGATTAGTTATTTTTCTCATTGTACTTGAAAAAGATATATAAATATTTATATGAATTATTATTAGAATTTATTTTCTTTGGTTAGATTAATTATTATTTTCGTGCATCCTTTTGAAAGACTTGCCAATTTATGTATTATTAACTTTAACTCAAAAAAAATTAAATACTTTCTTAATATCCTTCTCAATTACTTTAGCAACTTCTTTTTATAAAGCATATTGAATAAAAGCTTCATATTTATAAAACGTAACACGTACAATTTGCAAGGATTTACCGTTTAATATAATACGACTGCATTAGAAATTTGAATTAACAACTGAATCATTTGTACTACTATTAACTTAATTAAAATTGTTGTATTCAATAATTGAAAATTATATAACGGAAGGAAAAGCAAATGTTTGAATAACTACTGTACGTATAGAAAAATTAATGTTTCTAATTTACGTTATACGTTTCAAATCTTTTGTTTATAGTATCTCATTTGATTAGAGATGTAGCGTCATTCGCCATATTTATTTTCGGACAACAGACACCTGTGAGCATTACTGCCTTTCATTATTGTCCACTTGTGTTGTTTGACAACAGTAACGATATTTAAATTATCGTTAATGTGGGTTGTTGCATTGAGCAACAACCTGTTTCTATAAAGTATTGAAAAAACGAAGTGGATACATATTATCTTATGTTTAGTGAAACAAGTGGATTTAATATCGATAAAAAAGGTGATCATTATTCGGGCATTGTAGGGGCATTATTGGGTGTGTCATAATGAAGACTTTTTATACACTTTTGGCATTCGCCCTTTTACATACAGGTAAAGACCAATGAGATTTATTTGTACGTACTATTTTGTACGTAATATAAATATTATATTCGTTTAACCTTTTTGCTATTAAGAACGAGTTATTTTGGTGACACAATGTCGTAGATACAATGCTACAGACAAGATATTTCGCTATCACTTTGGACACTCTGGACGAGATATATCGTTATCATGAAGTCGTCTACACGATAGTATAGACAAGATGTGTCCGCATATCTATATGACATCATGGAACCGAGATATCTCGTCTTTGATAGTGAAAGAGTTAATGAAACGGAATG